GAAGAAGAAGAAGAAGAAGAAGAAGAAGAAAAACAACAACAACAACAACAACAAATACAACAACAACAAGAAGGTCGCTATGTAGTTATTTAAGAAGTTTGCTTGAAGAAGAAGTAAAAAGAAAGAAAGAAAGAAAGAGAGAAAGAAAGAAAAAAATGAAAGAAAGAAAGAAAGAAAGAAAGAAAGAAAGAAAGAAAGAAAGAAAGAAAGAAAGAAAGAAAGAAAGAACGAAAGAAAGAAAAAAGAAAAAGAAAGAAAGAGAAAGAGCGAGAAAAAAATAAGCAAAGAAAGATGGACAGTGCAAAGGAACTTGCGTTCCAGGGGTAATGGAGAAAGGCAGGTAGCATTAATCAGAATAGAAAAAAAAATGATATTGTTTTCTGTGCCAACGTGGGACTCTTGATAACACACACAAATGGCGTCTACAGGCAGCCTGTCACTTCATGTGAATATTTGAACATGTACCAGAAAGAATATTATGTGGCTGGGTGGGAGGTTGGTGGGTGCTGTGGGTGCCCAGTCAAACGTCTGTATAGTCGTCCTTATCTCTCCTTCTTTTCTTTGTATTCTGTTCTCTGGTAATAACACGGGTTGTTGTTGTTTTTTACATTTTGTTATTTTGGCTTTTTGTTATTGATTTTTAGGGGCGGGGGTTGCTGTGGATGTTTGTTATTATTGATGTTTTTGTTTTTGTTTTTGTTTTCGTTATTGTTTTTGTCGTTGTTTTTTGTTTGTTTGGGGTTTATTGCGGGTGGGGGGTGGGTGTTTTTATTGTTTTATTTCAGAATGGATTTTCCCCGATTTTCTTTTGACTACATTTGATTGATATTTTTTTTATTAATCATTACAGACTGGGCCAGCATCCAGACAAAGCAGATATGGTCTCAGCTCTGGACCATCATTCGGACGACAATTTTGCTTCTCTGCTCCGAAACATGAGACGAGGCGCCTTCAGGAAACGAAAGGGAGGTCGTTTCGACGCCAAGAAGGTAACAATGATCGCCAGGTGTCCGATGTTGGGTCCTTGGGAAAGACAAGACACTTGACTTTACACACATTTGCCTCACTTCATCCAGTAGGGATTTGGTAACAGGCTAAAGACAGCGAAAGATCTTGTCAGTCTGTGTATGTGTAAGAATTACAATAGGCAGTTTTCACTGTATGTTTCTCGGGGAACTGAGAATGTCTCTGGGTGTTCCAGGGTCTGCTGGAGTAATAATAGTTGTTAGGGACACAAAGCTCATTGTTCTCATGTCTATATTGCTACAGACCGCCATTGTTCTTATATGTCTCTGCTGCCCCATGTCACCATTGTTCTCATAGCATATGTCTGTATTGCCTCAGATCATCATTGTTCTCATATCATATATCTCTATTGCCACAGATCGCCATTGTTCTCATATCATGTCTCTATTGCCACAGATCGCCATTGTTCTCATATCATATGTCTCTATTGCCACAGATCGCCATTGTTCTCTTATCATATGTCTCTATTGCCACAGATCGCCATTGTTCTCATATCATATGTCTCTGCTGCCCCATGTCACCATTGTTCTCATATCATATGTCTCTATTGCAACAGATCACCATTATTCTCATAACATATATCTCTATTGCCACAGAACACCATTGCTCTCATATCATATCTCTCTATTGTGTGCATGCGCATGTAATACTATGTGCCGTAGAATGTTTCATGTTAAGCGCATAAAATATTGCATAAGTGGATATGCGCTCTATAAATGCTATCCATAATTTTTCATAATTATTTTTGTCACAGATTGCCATAGTTCTCATCGACGGGAAGCTGGACAAACCTATCAAAGCCCTCAAGGAAGCCAGACGAGCGAAGATCAAGGGCATTGAGGTAATTACATGTAATAGCCATTCTTTTCTTCTTCTGATTCTTCTTGCGTTGTTCTTGTTGGTGTTGTTCTTGTTGTTGGTGTTGTTCTTGTTCTTGTTCTTCTTCTTCTTCTTCTTCTTCTTCTTCTCCTTCTTCTTCTTCTTCTTCTTCTTCTTCTTCTTTTTCTTCTTCTTCTTCTTCTTTTTCTTCTCATTCTTCTTCTTCTTCGCATTTTTTTTGTTTTCTGTTTTTGTTGTGCATAGTTTTTGTTTGTCCTTTCTAGCAATGGATAATTAATTATATTATGTATTCATCCCTCTTATTCTCCTAATCCCTCCACACACCACCCACTCC